TACTTAATGTCTATCTATTTAATCAAGTAAGTTTTCAATACCCTGAACTGAGTAATACGGTCCAACAAGTATTCTTCTAAGTCTTTTAAATGTCAATCGGCTGATATATTCTTCTACGCTTCCTTTGAAATAAAAGGTTTCTCCGTCTTTGGCCAGTGTGAATGTACTCCAGAACTGTGTAAATATACCATAGGAACTGGTGTGTGGGCAGAAAGGAAGTAAGAAATTGGGTGTTCGCGCCAGATTTCTGGGATAATTTGGTATTCAGCAGGCATATCAAAGCTGAATGAATGATTGTTAGGTTTTATTTCTAGATATTGGCATTGTGGGAATAAGGCTTCGTCGGGTATAGGTTGGATAAATGGCTGAGGAGGGTTAGGTATATTGTCAGACCTAGCAAAAGTAATGTGAGATTCCTCGTCAAATTGATGTTGATTATGTGTCATTTACCTGTAAAATATCTAAAAATATTAGAAACCGAATTAATTGTACAACGCTAATTTAAAAAAAATTTGAAAAGAAATTGAAAACTTAAAAAAAATTAACTAAAAAAAGAAAAAAAAAACTAGAACTTAAAAAAAATTAACAAAAAAATTTAAAAACAAAATTTACCTAAAAAATTCTAAAAGAAATTCAACAGACTAAAACAAAATTTAAAATATTAAAGAAAAATTCTATAAAAAAAAAAAATCAACCGGATTCTATATCCTATCAAAACTAGATTTTTTTTTCCAAGACTCAAAAACTAAACCGGACAATATCAACCGGATTAAGGTTGATCGGAGTAAACTCCGGTTCCCTTCTCCGGTGAGAAATCCGGTCACAAACATAAAAAAAAAACTTTAAAACCCTAAATCGAACAAAAAACAACAAAATAAAACCTAAACTAATTCTAAAACTAACTCGGTCAAAAACAGAATCAAATCATTAGGTCTTAACTCTTTTCAGGTTCAAACGATTAACAGTCCAGATTTATTCGATTTAGATTCAAAGTATTATGAACTTCAATAGGTAACAGTCCAAAAAATTCGTCATAGTCCAAGATTCTGAAGCCAAGGAATTAATATTCGAGTTCAAATGAAACAAATGTAACCCTTTTGAAGTAGAGCAGATGAAGGAATAGATTGTAAAGAAGTTGTTCTTGAAAGTCTTGAGCGATTTAACAGAGAGTAAGCGGAGATGACGACGAATAGTGATAAGCGATTTAAGATAAATGTAAAAAGTGAAAAGTAAAAATGAATCGAGTATTTATAGTCAAAGTCAAAAACCGTTCAGATTTTAAACCACTCAAAGCTTATCCGGATTAGAATAAATCGGACAAGAGGTGTTCGATTTAGAGAATAAGAATCAGCTAAGTGATAATCCGGACAATAAATCGCTCAAGGTATAGGCGATTTAGAAGAACACCGGTTAAGAGTCATCCGGTTTAAGAATAAGTCCCTCAAGAGTCAATCAATTTAGGAATAAATCGCTCAAAGAAAGAACTTAAATCGTTCAACGGAAGAGTTAAATCGCTCAACAAATAAGCGATTTAAAGACTTGAAAAGCACAAAGAATATAAGCGATTTAGCAATCCGCTGAAATCAACCAAGCGATTTAGAAATCCACTCAACACCTTGTAAACATATCTAACCTTATCCGGATAAGAGTTTATCATATTGTCTTTTGTCCGGATTAGTCTAAATCGGACACTATGTTGTCCGGATTTGCAATTAATCGAACAAGTGTTGTCCGGATTAGTCTAAATCGGCCAAACACTTATATTTTTAAACTGTTAGTCAAAAACAGATAAAGTCACCCCCCCCCCTCAAAATATGATCAGATAAACAAAATACAGATAAAGATCCGCACTCTCCTTCAAATATAAATTCCCACGATCAAAAATTTAAAATCAGATAGAAAAATTGAAATACTGACTTGTATTTAAAAAATATAGATATTTGACCAAATGAATTTGAATTAAATACAATTCAATAAATTGAACTGTTTTTAATAAAAATATCAAATTTTCAAATTAAGCATACCTAACTTAGATACAAAAAAGTTAAAGCGTTTTTCATCTAAAGCTTTAGTAAATAAATCAGCTAATTGAAACTCTGTATTTACAAAATACAGTTCAATGGTTCCTTTTTCTATATGATCTTTAATGAAATGATACCGGATATCTATATGTTTAGTCTTTATGTGTTGAACAGGATTACAGAAAATAGCAATTGCACTTTTAGAATCACAATAAATGGGAATTTTGTTAAAATAAAACTCGTAGTCTCCGAGCTGTGTCTGCATCCATAAACTTGAGAACAGCAGCTTGCAGCAACTACATATTCTGCTTCAGTAGTAGATATGGACACATAGTTCTGTTTCTTTGATGCCCAGCTAACTAACTTGTCTCCCAAAAATTGTAGATGTCCCGAAGTGCTTTTCCTGTCCAACATACAGCCTGCATAGTCTGCATCTGAGTAAGCTGTCAATTCAAACTAGTACCCTTGGGATACCAGAGTCCAAGATTAGCAGTCCCTTTGAGATAACGGAAAATACGCTTAACAACACTTAAATGAGACTCCTTTGGATTAGCCTGATATCTGGCACAAAGATGTGTTGAAAACATAATATCAAGTCTAGAAGACGTCAAATACATTAAAGAACCTATCATGCCTCGGTATGTTTTCTGATCTACAGCTTTTCCAGACGGATCAGCATGTATTTTCGTTCCATGAGCCATAGGTGTTTTTATAGATGAACAGTTTTCTAAATTAAATTTCTTCAGAATATCAAAAATATATTTTTTTGACAGATAAAGATACCCAAAGATATTTTTTTTACTTGAAGACCTAAAAAGAAGTTCATCTCACCCATCATGCTCATTTTAAAACGCAAAACCATTAAGGCATAAATGTTTTTGAAGGATTTTGGGTTCGTAGATCCAAATATTATATCGTCTACATAAATTTGTATCAAAATAATATCGGACTTTTCCTTTCTAATGAAAAGCATTGTATAAATATTACCTTTCGAGAAGCCTGACTTTACCAGAAAATCTGATAAGACGTCATACCAGGCTCTCGGAGCTTGTTTAAGACCATAAAGAGCTCGGTCGAGGATGTAAACATGATTCGGCTTTGACTGATCCACAAAACCCTCCGGTTGAGCAATGTACACTTCTTCCTTGAGAAGACCATACATAAATGTTGTCTTGATGTCCATCTGGTAAACTGTGAAGTTTTTGTGTGTCGTGTATGCCATAAACATCCGTATTGCTTCAATCCTTGTTACCGGGGTAAAAGTTTCGTCGTAGTCAACGCCTTCTTGTTCATTGTGTCCTTTAGCGACAAGCCGTGCCTTATTTCTGACCAAAACACCATCTTCGTCCTTTTTGTTTTTGAATACCCATTTTGTACCAATAATCGTCTTGTTGTTGGGACGAGATACCAATCTCCAGACTTTGAGTGCTTCAAACTGGTTCAGCTCCTCTTGCATTGCGAGTATCCAATCCGGATCAGCTAAGGCTTCAGATACCTTAGTGGGTTCAATATTACTCAAGAACGTGGAGTATAGACACTCATTAGCTGTCGCAGACCGTGTACGAATTGGTGCTGATGGATCACCAATAACTTGATGTATTGGGTGATTTCTGGTCTACTTCTTGCAATGAGGTAGGGAATGTAGGAGTTTTGATCTGAGTTTTGATCAATATTTGGAATTGGAATAGGTTGAATATCTGGCTGAGGTAGGGTATTTTCATCTTGTACGACCGATACCTCTTGCACTTCAGAACTTTCACCCTTTTCACGCTGAACTTGACCGTCAGGAGTTTCCATCTCTATTTCTTCATCAACAACTTCTGTTTCTTCTTCTGTTTAAGTTACTGGAATATCAGGAGATGGACCAGATAACTGTTGTTTGGTTTGCAAATTCCTGGACAAATCATTAGACTGATTAGATTTATTTTCAAAATATTCTTCATAAAAGTTCTCTAACAATGAATCTAAATCAGCTTTATCAGAATTAGAAGATTCAGGTTGATCAGCATTCTGCGTAATATTAATTATCAGCCCGGGTCGTGAACTGAATTGTTCGGAAGCCACATCAATGACTTCATCAAAGGAGACGTTCACGCTCTCATTGATGATTTTGATCCTCTTGTTGTAGACCCTATATGTAGTAGATATCTTGGAATAACCAACGAAGACCTCTTCATTAGCTTTAGCAGCGAACTTCCCTCTGTCCTCTTTGTTATTTAAAATAAAGTACCTGCAACCAAAAACTCGAAAGAATTTGATATTAGGTATTCTTTTATTTATTATCTCATACGGAGTTTTACCAAACCTTTTGTGAACGAGGGATCGGTTCTGGGTAAAACAAGCAGTCGCCACTGCTTCAGCCCATAAGAATAACGGAAGCTTTGAGTAGGTAAGTAACGTATGCGCCGCTTCCACCAATGTTCTATTCTTTTGCTCAACGACATCATTATGTTGCGGTGTTCGGGCTGCCGAGAACGTATGTGTGATACAAATGGATTCGAGGAATGAGCTGAGTGTATTGTTCTTGAATTCAGTTCCGTTGTCAGTTCTGATTTCTGAACTAGCAGTTGCAGATTATTTTGGACTGTCTTCAAGAATGAGATTATTGTCTCGGCCGCTTCATCCTTTGACCGCAAAAAATGAACCCAGCTATATCTCGAATAGTCATCGACTATGACCAACACATACTTCTTTCCATTGATGCTTTGGACTCTCAAAGGACCACAGAGATCCATATGGAGTAAGTGTAGAGGACGTTCGGTGTTGAAGTCTGTCTTCAGCTTATGTGAAGCTTTCTTTAGTTTGCTCATTTCACATGCACCGCATACATGGTCTTTATGAAACTTTAGGTCTGGGATGCCTTTAACCAAGTTGTCACCAACCAACTTGTTCAGATATTTGAAATATAAGTGTGAAAGACGCCGATGCCATAGCAGATTCTGCTTCAAGGATGCCTTGGATATCAAGCAGACGTAAGTATCTACTTGTGTGTTGGATAGGTCAATTGTGTAGAGATTTGATCTTTTGATTCCAGCTTGAAGCTCCTTACCATCAGTAGTTCGGATGCTGCATTGGTTAGCTTTAGAACAAACTTTTAAATTCTTATCACAAAATTGATCTATGCTGAACAGATTATGTCCAAGTCCTTCGACATACGACACTTTCTTTATCATTAAATTCCCAGAAATTAGGTCACCGTATCCAAGGATAGGCGCGTATTGATCATTTCCGAACCTTACCGTACCTCCAAAAGATTCAACATAGTTAGATAATAATTATTTTCTACCAGTCATGTGCTTAGAACATTCGGAGTCTAAGAACCACACATGCCGCTTAACCTACAAAATTGAATCAATTGGGTTTTGGTACCCATTTTAGTTTGGGTCCTTTAAGCTCAGTTCTCGCTGGTGGTATATTGTAAGTACTAAACCAACGTTCTTTAATATGAAATTTCTTAGATAAAGCAGTTAAAGCAGAATGCATGAAATGATAAGGCTTAAAAGAAGTAAAAGACTTAAGTAATTCGTTCAATCCACACGGAGAACAATTATTTTTACCATTTCTAATATCAAACAATTCATCAACTGAATATCTTTTTACATAATTATTCAATGTAGAATCATTTAATACAGACTTAGTAAAATTATTCTTCTTCTGTCGAGTTGAAGATTTTTTTTTCTTTTACTCTCCAAACCTTCTTAAACTTCAACGCGTTATCTGAAACAGGAAAAATAAAATCATCAGATTTAAATGAATGATGAACTTTTTGTTTAATTTTCTTAGTATGCTTTTTCTGTTTCCTCGAATTCTTTTTATTTTTAATCTTTTTATAATACAAATCCTCGGAAATAGGTTTTTCATTAAAATTCTTTTTTAAATCTGAAACTAAATCAGAATCCTCAGTCATATCATTTTAAACAAGAAAATCTTCATGACTGGGTAATTTCTTTGAAAAGTCAAATTGATCAATCTCATTATCCAAACAGACTTTTGAATTCAATATATCGGAAAAATTAATTTCTTCATTTAAAATATTTATTTCTTCTGAATCAGAAGCTTCACTTAAAGATTTATTACACGAGAAATACTCAGACTCAACATGTTCCGTTTTTACCTTAGAATTAAATCTTCAATTTTATTTAAAAATTCTTGTTTTTGTTGATTAAATGAAAGTCGTTCTTTATTTAAAATCTTTTACAACTGAACCACTTGTTTTTCTAAAATTAAAGTTGGAGTATAAAACTTTGGTTCAGCAGGTTTAGACTCAAGCTCTGCTTTAGAATAGCTGTGAAAATAATATGTTGAAAGTACAGGGTCTTGATTTTTATAGCTATCATTTAAGATTTCATAATCAAACGGAACATGCATTTTGTCTTTTCTTTGACGATTAAAATCTTCTCGTTGTTCTACCTCATCAGAAGATTTTATAAATTTAATTGAAAACTCGGGTCCGCAATCAAGATATTCAAATTTATATAGAGTCGGGGTATAATATAAAGCTTTTCCTAAAAAAATTGGATTTTCGTACGCTTCCCGAGGGTTAAAAAATCTTGTTTTAGAGGGTTTTTTCAGAAAAATTCTTTGATCAGTCTGCCCTCTCTTATATAAAACTTCTTCCTTAGACTTCAGTTTTTCATTTAATTAAATTATTTGTAAATAAAGCTTACTTATTTTAACCACTAGTTCTTCATTAACCAATTCTAACGATTTATATCGTTCCTTGGAATCATATAATTTGTCTTTTAAGATATTGGATTTTTCATTAAATGTTTTAGATTCAGATAACAAAGATTTAGCCCAGTCCAAGTTTCCAGCATTTTCATCAAATAATTTGATGCATTTTTTTTTGCGTTTTTAATTCTTTTTCAAAATTATTTGAACGCATTTTTTCTGTTTTTAATTGTTGCTGGAAAGATTGAAGTTTAAGCATCATCTTTTGCATCTGTTTTATGCATGATTTCTCCAATACCTCTTCTTCCACTTCAGTACTCTGTTCTTCTTCTAAATCTGAAGAACAATTTTCTATTCTAGCCATCAAGCATATGTGTGTAACAGCTTCAGCTTCTTCCTCTTCATCGGTTAAGTTTAACCAATGATCGTCTTCTGCCATGAGTGCTTTCCCCGCATCTCGTTGTTTTGAGAGAAGAAATTTGTTTTTGTAGTAGTCGGTATTTCTCGTTACCGGCTTTCTACAGTTTACAGCAAAATGGCCTAGCTTGCCATAATTATAGCACTTTGTATGCTCGTCAGCTACGCCTTTGACAAATTTCTTCTTCTCTTCCGGCTTCTTCTCGTATTTCTTCTAGAATCTATTTTCTTCATATTTCTTCTTCTTGCCGAATTTATCTTTAAATTCGTATTTTGAGCCGGACGAGAATCTTTGATTATTCGAGTGCGGTCATTTCTGAAACTTCTTTTGGAATGCTTTAGTTAGTATCGCCATGACATGTTTTATTTCAGTCATTTAAGAGTCTGAATCCGAGCTGTTACATTTTTCACCTGCTGATTCGCTTGACTGGCTTATTTCTTTCACTTGCTTCCCAGATATGTTTTTTCCTTTCTTCTTAGATTCGAAAGCTAAAGGATCAGCAACTTCCTTCTCTTTCTTCTTCTTGGAATCTCAGACCTCCAAAACTTCTTCCTCATTCTGCTTTAGAGTTTCATAAACTTCATGTATGTCAATATCAGATGATGATTTGTTGAATCTAATATGATTAGCATAAGATTTCCACTCTGGTTGAAGATTGTTGAGGAATTTAACATTGTTCTCTATAACAGTTTTAGAGATTCCGTTCTTGGTCAGCTCATTTAGCAGTCTGGTAAGCCTATCATAGACATCGTCAAGGCTCTCTCCATCTTTAGCCTTGAATTCTTCATATGCAGATATACAATTAGTAATCTTCAACTGAGTTCCCACTTTAGAACCCATCATCATCTTTTCAATTTGAACCCACATGCTGTGACCAGATGATTTATGACTGTCAATGCTTGTGTAGATATCGTTGGTCAGTGCTAGCATCATATAGGACTTGCAAAGCACATCAACATGGGCTCTCTCTTTTTCTTGTGTAGTGTATCTGAACTTCTCCTTGATGACTCTTTGTGCAGGTCTGCCTTTTTCTAGAACAGCAGGTGTCTCTCTGTAGAAAACATTACAAGACTAATCTCTATTTATACTAAGGAAAGCATGTAACACCCCCACTCCATACATTGCATATAACACATATATTATACATAGAATACATGTCTTTTCCCACATAGGTCTATAATACAAAAGTCTTTAATGTAAAATACGCAACCCAAAAATTTCAAAAGTACATGTTCTTGCATCCTAGCATCTATGCTTCCAAAACAGCTAAGCACATAGGGAAGTAATTCACATAATGCTCTTTCCCTTATTATCTTTACCTGCACACATATTTTGAAAACACGAAATGAGGGTTAGACATGAATGTCTAGTGAGGTTCCCTTTTATGTAATGCAGGGTGAAGATCAACAAAACATTTATCAAATAATCATTTCACAACATGCGGAATAAAATCAGATTCTGTTTTGGTCCATCGAGCCTCTGGTTCCAAACCACACTTGGAATATATTTCAATAACTAGGACCAGAACCGCTCTAGTCTTTCTTCCAGAGCTTCTGGTTCTTCGACCAGACCCCTCTGGTCTCTCTTCCAGAGCTTCTGGTTCCTCGACCAGAGCCTCTGGTTGTACTAACTAGAGCTTCTGGTTCAACGTGTAAGCCAACAAGAGTCTCTCTGGTCTGTTTTTCATAAAAAGATTCTAAGTATAATA